TCGGGCCCGCTGCACGGCGTCGGCGAAGGCGTCCTTGCGGATCCCCCCGGGCGGCCCCCCCGCTCCGCCCGGGCCGGGCCCCCCCGCGCCTCCCGCGCCCGCTCCTCCCGGGGGCGGCCCCCCAGCTCCGGCTCCGCCGGCTCCCCCACCGGGGGGCCCTCCGGAGGGCGGGGGCCCGGCCGGGCTATAGTCCGACATGGCGGCGGCTGAGGCCGGCGAGAGACGCTGAGGAGGCGGCGGCGGCGGCGAGGGCTCAACGCGGGAACCAGGCCGAGCTCTCCACACACCCCCGCAAAGCACGGTGGGATCGGGGGGCGGGGACTCCGCCGATATCCCCGCCCCCCGCGAGGCGCGAAGGCCAGTCACACAAGCGGAGCGCTCTGAGTGACAACGACATGCAGCCAATCCCGATAAGGAAGGAGCCGGCTTACCTGACTGGCCTATTAAAGGCATAGGAGGCGGGTGTTAAAACTGAGTGTCAGAGGACTCATCCAATCGCACAGGGAAGGGTCCCTGAATGTGCTTTATTATTGGAGGACAAGTAGGCGACAGCCCGTATTGATTGATACGAGATTAAGCCAATCAGAGATGAAATGTTGCTCATATTTGGACTCCCATTGGAGAAGATTAAGGATGGTCTGATATTATAATTGATTGACATTTATATGGACCAATCAAAGATGGCAAATGCCCAGGACAGGCCTATCCGGCGCACCTATTGAAGGATGAAAAGGCAGGAGAGAATTTCATTGACAGGCATTTGAGCCATTCACAGGGAAGGGATTCTACACGCTACTTCTTTATTGGAAGCTGCAATGCATGGGCGGTTCTTATTAATGAGTGACACGTACATAAACCAATCAGAAACGTAGAGTGCCCAAGGTAGCTCCTTATTGGTGCGTGGATGGGGTGGGTCTAAATTTGATTGATAGGTAGATAATCCAATAAAAAGTAATATATTCCATCTACCTCCCTATTGGAGGATGAGCCAATGAGTCCAGAATTTCTGTCAATCATCCATCCTCACTCTGCCTATTTGGAAATCCATTGGTTAATATGTGCGTGAAGGTGGGGCGATAGCTGATGGACAGGACTCTGGACCTATAGAAGGAAGGGAATCGTATGTTTGCCCAATGGCGTTGGGGAGGCAAGTAAGGTGGGACTTTGAAGGGAATGAAGTGGAAAGTGATTGAAGCTCGGGGCAGATTGACAGCTTCATCGGCCAATCACATTGGAAGCGAGCCAGGCTTTACCAGCTTATATGGGGGGGGGGACAGGTTAGAGAGTTTTTTACCCATAATCCTTTGGGTGTGTGGTTGTTCTCACCTGTGCTCCCTGGGATCATTAGCCAGCCTATGGCCTTTGCCTCAATGCGGCTGCCCATTCTGGCCTGTGACCTCTGACCCGGCTCTTAAGATGTGACCTTTGCCCCCACCTGAGCCTGTGACCTCTGACCCAGCTGTGAGGCCGTGACCTTTGCTCCCCATCCCAAAGGCAGAGATTTTCGGCTCCTCCCCCCAAGCTCCCACCACTGTCCCGGTGGTTGTCGTCCCCCGGAGGCTCTGACCTCTGCCCCGTGCTTGTTGGGTCGGTCGCCCCCCACTCCCAAGTTACAGAATCACAGGACTGGAAGGGACCTCGAGAGGCATCTAGTCCAGTCCCCGGCACTCCTGGCAGGACTAAGCATTGTCTAGACCATCCGTGCCAGGGGTTTGTCCAACCGGCTCTTAAAAATCCCCAACGATGGAGATTCCACAACCTCCCCGGGCAATTTATCCCAGTGCTTCACCACCCTGACAGTTAGGACGTTTTTCCTAATGTCCAACCTAAACCGCCCTTGCTGCAATTTAACCCATTGCTTCTTGTCCTGTCCTCAGAGGTTAAGAAGAACAATTTTTCTCCCTCCTCCTTGTAACAACCTTTTATGTACTTGAAAACTGTCCTCATGTCCCCTCTCAGTCTTCTCCTCTCCAGACTAAACAAACCCAATTTTTTTCAATCTTCCCTCAGAGGTCATGTTTTCTAGACCTTTCATCATTTTTGTTGCTCTTCTCTGGACTTTCTCCAATTTGTCCACATCTTTCCTGAAATGTGGCACCCAGAACTGGACAAAATACTCCAGTTGAGGCCTAATCAGCATGGAGTAGAGTGGAATAATTACTTCTCGTGTCTTGCTTACAATACTCCTGCTAATACATCCCAGAATGATGTTTGCTTTTTTTGCAACAGCGTTATACTGTTGACTTATATTTAGCTTTTGATCCACTATGACCCCCAGATCCCTTTCCGCAGTACTCCTTCCTAGGCAGTCATTTCCCATTTTGTACGTGTGCAACTGATTGTTCCTTCCTAAGTGGAGTACTTTGCATTTGTCCTATTGAATTTCATCCTATTTACTTCAGACCATTTCTCCAATTTGAATTTTAATCCTATCCTCCAAAGCACTTGCAACTCCTCCCAGCTTGGTATCATCCGCAAACTTTATAAGTGTGCTCTCTATGCCATTATCTAAATCATCGATGAAGATATTGACCAGAACTGGACCCAAAACCTATCCCTGCAGGACCCCACTTGTTATGCCCTTCCAGCATGACTGTGAACCACTGATAACTACTCTCTGGGAACGATTTTCCAACCAGTTTTGCACCCACCTTATAGTAGCTCCATCTAGGTTGTATTTCCCTAGTTTGTTTATGAGAAGGTCACGCGAGACAGTATCAAAAGCCTTACTAAAGTCAAGATATACCACATCTACCACTTCACCCCTATCCACAAGGCTTGTTACCTTGTCAAAGAAAGCTATCAGTTTGGTTTGACATGCTTTGTTCTTGACAAATCCATGCTGACTGTTATTTATCACCTTATTATCTTCTAGGTGTTTGCAAATTGATTGCTTAATTATTTGCTCCATTATCTTTCCAGGTACAGAAGTTAAGCTGACTGGTCTGTAATTCCCCGGGTTGTCCTTATTTCCCTTTTTATAGTTGGGCACTAGATTTGCCCTTTTCCAGTCGCCTGGAATGTCTTCCGTCTTCCATGACTTTTCAAAGATAATTGCTAATGGCTCAGATATCTCCTCAGTCAGCTCCTTGAGTATTCTAGGATGCATTTCATCAGACCCTGGTGATTTGAAGACATCTAACTTGTCTAAGTAATTTTTGACTTGTTCTTTCCCTATTTTAGACTCTGATCCTACCTCATTTTCACTGACATTCACTATGTTAGACGTGCAATCGCCACCAACCTTCTTGGTGAAAACCGGAACAAAGAAGTTATTAACCTCTGCCATTTCCACATTTTCTGTTATTGTCTTTCCCCCCTCATTGAGTAACAGGCCTACTCTGTCCTTGGTCTTCCTCTTGCTTCTAATGAACATGTAGAATGTTTTCTTGTTTCCTTTTATGTCCCTAGGTAGTTTGATCTCGTTTTGTGCCTTGGCTTTCTAATTTTGTCCCTGCATACTTGTGTTATTTGTTTATATTCATCCTTTGTAATTTGACCAGGTTTCCACTTTTTGTAGGACTCTTTTTTGAGTTTTAGATCATTGAAGATCTCCCGGTTAAACCAGGTGTTCTCTTGCCATACTTCCTATCTTTCCTACGCAGTGGGATAGTTTGCTCTTGTGCCCTTAATAATGTCTCTTTGAAAAACTGCCAACTGTCTTCAATTGTTTTTCCCCCTTAGACTTGCTTCCCATGGGATTTGATCTCTGCCCTCTGCCCTCACGGTTGTCGTTGTCCCCCCCCCTCGGCCTGTACCTCTGCCCTCCATACTTGTCACTCCCCCACCTGAGGCCATGACCTCTCACCTCATGGTTGTCGGCACTCCCCAACCTCTGCCCCAAGGTTGCTGTTTGCCAGGGCCACGAGAAAGGCACAATGACCCTCTCCTCCGTCTGGGGTTTCTAGCCGTTCCTCCTAGCCACAGGCCCTGGGGTGTGGTAGTCACGGGTGGGGCTTTTGGGGGCTGGGCTTACGGTTTATTTGCATTTGGTTTTGACACCGGGAAGGAGGGTCACTGACCTGATGAGAGGGGTATCCGCTTTCTGTAACGGTACCTGTGTCAGAACCAGAAGTGATGGGCTGGATGCAGGAGTCTTTTGGGGCAGGTCTCTGGCCTGTGTTATACAGGAGGTCAGACTAGATAATCACAATGGTCCCTTCTGGCCTTCAAATCTATGAATCTCCAGAGCCCTAGGCCAGGTCTACGCTAGAGACCTCTGCTGGCAGAGCTGTGTCAGTCAGCGGTGGGAAGAGGTGGGACCTCTGACTGGCAGTTGTGTTCACAGAAGCACCTAGTGTAGACGCAGTTATACCAGCAAAACTGCACAAAACTGTACCATTTTGCCAGCATAGCTGGGTCCGCCCTAGGAGCGCTTTGCCATATAGTATATTGATATTCCTAACGTGACATAGCCCTGGTCCTCCATTCGCTCTCCTTTCCTCTTCAGTGGTCTGAAAGCGGCTATCCCCTTCTCAGTCCTTTCCAGGCCCCTGGCAAAAAGACACCTGCCGGATCTGAATTAAAACCTGATATCTACTCAGACAGGTAAGCAAGCTGTTGATCAGTATTTTAGGAAGATGAGACACATTTAAAAACACAGAGACCCTAGCAATCAGTCTCCCCATGTTTATTATCTCTGTTTAAACGGTATCTTCCCCCCCGGGGATGGAGAATAATAAATATAGAAATAGATCAGTACATTTGTCACTAATAACCGCGCATGAGTAGAGTGGTTTCCATATTCAAAGCTCTGGAGGAACTTTGATCCTGCATAGTGATATGGCTCCCAGGATTTTCTGTTATGTAACTATGGAGTTTGAAAACTGGGCAAATGAATGGTCCTGCTCCCAGTGACGGCTCCGGGGCAAGATCGTTAGTGCTTGGGACTATTTCAGCTTTGCTGTAATGTAGTGCAGTGTGTCCCCGCCCCCCCGGCCCTGAGGCAACACAATTCCAAGTGTTTGGGAAGTCCTCCTGCTGGGTTTCTTCAAATGTTGTCATCCCAGTTTAGCGTACAGCATTAAGGAGACCATCATAGCTGCTAGCTGCAGTGGGAGAGAAAAAAATAGAGACGGAATGAATAATAAGACAGAAAATATCATATTGCCTCTGTATAAATCCATGGTACGCCCACATCTTGAATACTGCGTGCAGTTCTGGTCACTCCAGCTCAAAAAAGAGATATAGACTTGGAAAAAGTGTAGGGCAATAAAAATGATGAGGGGTATGGAACAGCTTCCGTATGAGGAGAGGTTTTAAAGACCAGGACAGTTCAGCGTAGAAAGGAGACGACTAAGGAGGGATATGATCGAGGTCTACAAAATAATTACTGGTATGGAGAAAGTGACTAAGGAAGTGTTATTTACCTCATCACATAACACACAAACCAGGGGTCACCCAATGAAATGAAAAGGCAGCAGGTTTATAAACAAGCAAAAGGAAGCAATTCTTCACACAACGTACAATCAACCTTTGGAACTCCTTGCCGGGGGATACTGTGAAGGCCAAAAGTATAACTGGGTTGAGAAAAGAATGAGAAAAGTTCCTGGAGGACAGGCCCATCAGTGGCTATTAGCCAAGGTAGTCAGGGACGCAGCCCAGTGCTCTGGGTGTCCCTAAACCTCTGACTGCCAGATGCTGGGACTGGACAACAGGGATTGGATTGTTTGATGATTCCCTGTTCTGTTCATTCCCGCTGGGGCACCTGGCACCGGCCACTGTCTGAAGACAGGATACTGGGCTAGATGGACTGTTGGTCTGACCCAGTATGACTGTTCTTATGTTCTTATGTTTATGTGTAACCTCCTAGTATCTAACTGAGGTCAGGGCCCTGCTGTGTTAGGCGCTGCACATACCCATCGTGGTTGACCTGTGCACAGCTGGCTAATTGTGCATCATTGGAGTACTTAAAAGTGAACACGTCCCTTTAAGACCAGACTAACTTGGGTTAAACTCACTTCCAGCACGGCGGCGCCGGTGGCAGCTCCACCAAGCAATAGGCTCTTCTCTTTGATCAGGGAAACCAGCTGGCGGAAGCAGCCCTGAAGGGTAAAAAATAGGGTGAGGTGTAGGCTGCTTTCACAGTAATCGGAAACAAAAAGCAATGATAGCCCATCCCCCGGTGGAATCCCATTGGCTTCAGCACACTTGCTGAGCAAACTATTGTATCTTCCCTTCACGCGGGGGTGGGGTGGGGGTGGAATTAGCCCCTGCGTGGCTGACTGGTCACTGGCCTATGGCTGTGCCTAAATCCATAGATCCCAAAGCACTTTCCAAAAGAGGGCTGTATCATTATTCTCCCACACTTTACAGAGAGGGAAACTGAGGCACGAGGGAGTGGCTTGCCCAAAGTCATGCTGCAGGAAGAGCCAACCCAGTGCCCTGCCCACTAGGCCCCACAGCCTTCACTTAAGGGGTGTACAAGGTGCTTTCTGGTTTTGAATTTAGAGCACATAGGCACCGATCCTGCCATGAGATCCCTGTGGGTGCAGGTAGACGTCCAGGCAGCGTTTGCTGCAAGATCAGGGTGCTGATCACTCCCCCACATGCTCCCTTGCTCCCTCCGACTCCAACAGACACAGGCTAGGTTTTTAACAGCACTATTCCCAGTTTCCTTTTTGACCCCCAAACCGGGCCGCGACCTCCTGGTTGATGACCACGCTGCTGACGTTGCGTCCGTTGCATGCGGCGCTCGTTGGATCTTTGCAGCAGCTTTTGGGATAAGTCAGGTTGGTCCGTATTTGAAAGGCAGAGCCGGAAAAGTCTGTGTAGTTATGAACCCCGCAGCAGTTCAGCTAGGAACGACACACAACAGGGTTTGTTACAGGCCAGGGTCTCGAACGTTTCATTTTTCCTTCCTACCTCCCTTCCCTGCTATATCCCGGCAGAATTTCCTCAGTTCTCCTTTGCTCAAATGGTGATTTTACCAGAGGAGAAGTATGTTTAACCCTTCGGTTGCTATCAAATGCCCGTGTTGTAAACACTGGGTGAAATTCTAAGGCCTGTGGTCGACAGGTCAGACTAGATGAGCAAAATGGTCCCATCTTGTATTCTGGGGTGGGGGTTTTCCACCTTCGTCCGAAGCGTCCGAAATCAACCACAGCGGGAGATGGGACACCAGACAGGATGGACCAGTGCTCTGAGCTGGTACAGAGACTCCTCTGTCTGGCTGGTGAATCTCACTCACATGCTCGGGGTCACCAGATTTGGGGTTGGGAAGATTGACAGGGCTTTTTCACCTTCCTCCGCAGTGCGGGGTGCAAGTCGCTACTGGAGTCCTGGGGCTTGTCTCACCTAAGCAGTTCCCTGCCGTGGCAGGGGCCGCAGGCATTCGTCACTCCTTGGTGGGCCCTATTCTCTGCCCGTGGCTCACAAGACGTTTGTCTCTGAGGATTAGGATGCTTTGATCTCACTAGTCACTGAGTGGCTTTTAGTGGCCTGTGCTGAACGGGAGCTCAGACTGGCGATCCCGTCCGGCCCGAGACTGTGTGAAATTTCTGCCCCCAAAAATCTACACAGCAGATCCTCAGCACATGTGTATCAGCTTGACTGCTTTGACGCCAGAGCAGCGCTGATTCACACGGAGGATCTGGCCTGGAGACTCACTAGATGCTAGCGTTGAAGGGTGGGTGGGCATGTGGTTAAGATACTGCCGTGGGATCCAGTTCCCAGCTGTGTTACAGAACCACTTGGGCGAATCTGTGTGTCTCTTTTCCTAGTTGTAGGGTGGGCATACGACCAGCCTCCCTTTCGCCTGGCCTGCCTCTTTAGATTGTAAATTCTGCTCCCTGTCTAAGGCGTGTACATGGGCCCATCACCGTACCAGCTGGGCGTCTCCTCCCAACCTCTCTGCTATGATCCCCATGGTACTGATGGGGAACGGATGCCCAGGGAGCCCAGGTGACTGGCCCCAGGTCACACAGGGAGTGCATGGGACAGAAGGGAATTGAACCAGGATTTTCTGTCCTAACCACTAGACTGTCCTTCCTCTCACACCATCTCATCACAGCAGGGACTATCACTGTGTATGTGCAGCACCGGGCACAGTGGGTGGGGCCTCTCGGAGCTGCCGTAATATGTGTAATAAGAATGTGGGAACACGTGTCGAGTCCTTTGACCCAGGAGGTCTGGGGGGCGGCGGGTCCCCTACCTTCAGCATGAATGCATTCCATCCATAGGACACGATATCATCGTGTTTGTAGCCGCTGTATTTCTTCTTCAAGGCAGCCAGCGATTTGTCTAGGACGATACTGCGAGCCTTAAACGGGGGGAATGAAACGGGTCTAGAGCCAGAAAATACTTTCTCTTCAGATCCCGTCTGATGCCAAAGTGTGGCCAAAGGTTTTCAGGGAGAGAGCCTCAGGTGGGGTAAATCAGGACTGCTCCGCCGAGCGCAGCGGAACTGAGCTGATGGCCACCCGCTAAAGATCTAGCCCAGAGACAGCAAAGTGGCACGCTGGGCTAGTAAAAGCTGACAGCCTCAGACTAGCCAGCTCACTTTGGCCCTAGTGTGGGCCCCGATCCTGCACGGATTTACTCACGCACTTAACCTGACATCTATTGCTCCTGCAGTGGGTGGGTGTAAGTGAAGCCCAGGTGGAAATAAGGTGCAGGTACTTAACAGGTAGGGTAATTAGCCAGTGGATCAGATTCCCAAGGGACAGGGCAGGACACCTTTCTAGAGGAGTCGCTCACTCAACTAAAAGTTACTGGTCTGGATACAGGAATAACTAGGTGAAATTTCCTGGACTGTGTTACGCTGGCGGTCGCACTAGATCATAACAATCCGTTGTAGCCTTAAACTCTGTGAATCTGTGCAGGATCTGGGCCTTAGCTTTGTAAATGTAGATCCAAGCCAAGGGAGAATCGATCATATTTAAATTTGCCTTTACGAACAATAAGAATAATGCGGTAGGAATAATTCTAAAGCAAAGAGGAACCGTTTCATCAGTTAAGGATGAGGAATGGGTAGACCTCAGTTAAAGCTGTGAGTTGGTTTTAAGGGACAGAGCTGGTTCAAATGCGAGGTGGGGAGGGGGTGATTTCCTTTTTCTTTTCTTTATGTGCGATGACATTTTTGACAAATCAGTTAGTCAGAATTCCACCTGCGCTCAGAGTCCAGATGATCAGAACTTGGAGGGGAAATTTTGTCAACAGTTTTTTATTTGGCCACCAAAAGTTCCAGATTTGGAAACTCTGGGCTCGTTCTTTGGTGCAGTGCGATTCGAACGAGACGTCACTAGATGTTTAGGGTCCCGCGCGACTCCTGGATTTTCCAAGGAACTCACAAAAGTTGGCCACTTAACTTCCCTTTTGAAATTTCTCCCCGTTTGGAAAAAGGACCCAATCCCAAGCGACTCTTCTTTGTAGGATCGGGGTGAAACTTTGTCAAGGAAAATGAGAATTCCCCACATCAGAAGGGAATTCTGGATACTCACGAAGGACGTGAAAGCGAATACGACGACAGCTGCTGCGATTTCAGCGATGAAGATGACCAGCATTATTAAGAAGTACTGTGAGAGAGGGGGGTGGAAGGACATTGGAAGGTCGCGGTGAGTGCACACCGCGGAGGCCTTGTTCACTCTCAGATTCGTTCGGGATGAAGGTGAAGGGATTGCGAAGTGAGGCACAGGAGTCAAGTTTACACTACAATCAAAGGATTTAACCTAGAGGGGCTGTGGCTGCCCAGATGAACAGGGGTCAGGAGGTCAGGGGTTAGGGGGTCATGCCCATCCATAAGAGTCTTGACAGCTGCTAACTGAGAGGCTGTCTGCTAAACAAAGCGTTCACGTGGGTAGAAAGCAGGGCACGCACGGTCAAAGTCCCCCAGAACAGAGAGGGCTGGGGACCACATGAGCTGCCAAAGGGCTTAAGTGGTGTGTGGATCTTGTCCCGCTCCCTCTGAGTAGGCGTGAGTTTCACCCGCTAAGGATGGGAAAGAACAGCTGGTGACTGCAAGGGAGACCACTGCGTAGTTATAGTATAAGCGACGTTTAGGGCCAAATGTAGGGGGTCAGCTCCCCAGCTGGGGTAAATCACGCGGCTGTGCCAATGGGTGCATCGTAACGGCACGCTCGACCCCCCTTAGCTCAAGCGGGAAAGGTCTACGGCCCCGTCCTCGCGGGCCGGGACGCCGCCCCAGCTGACAGCAGCTGCGTGCACTCACCGTCAGCAGGAGGCATCTGTTCTCTTTCACCGTGCCCCAGCAGCCCATGAACCCCAGCACGGCCACCATGCTGCCCGCCACGATGCAGAAGTACCCGACGTGGGCAAAGTACACCGAGGTGGCGCCCAAGACCCTGACGAAGGAGGCGCTTCCCAGTTTAATCCACAGGCCCAGTCCCACCATGGTGCAGCCGACAACCTGTGGAGAGAATAAACGTATATGCATGTGTGTGTGTGCGAGCTCGTGCGTGCGTTGGCGCTCCGGCCATGCCCCCGATTCACCCGGGGCAGGGAGCAGAGATGCCAGCCTGGTGCCGGAGGGGCATGAACATAACTGAGAGCCACCCCCTCTGTGCCGTTCCACGGCCAGTCCCTCCTCCCCGCTCAGGTCTGCCCACCAAGAACTGAGCAGAGGCTGATGAGCACGACCCACGGTTCTGGCCAGCCGTGGGGTGACGTGAACTTCGGGTGAAAGGCCACGTTACCTGAAGGCTAAGGGCCAGATCCCCCGTTGATGTAAATCATTGTAGCTCCATCAGTGTCAACAGAGATCTACACCGGCTGAGGATCTAACCCCTAAACTCTGGGGCAGGCAGCTGGGCACAGGACTGGCTGATTTTATTCTTTGCTCTGCCCCTGACCTGCTGCGTGACTGTGAACAAGTTTCTTCCCCGCTCTGTGCCTCAGTTTCCCCTCCCACCCGGTGCCTGGCTAGGCTGTGAGCTCTTCAGGGCAGGACTGTCTCTCACTCTGGGTCTGTGCAGCCCCTGGCACCACGGGACCCTGGTGCCACCGTAATACACCGAAATAAACGTGTGTCTGAAAACACAGGCTTACAAGGATAATGGTGTTGAAGCAAATCATGACAGTCTTCAGAGTGGCATAGCCAGTGCGCGAGGGAGCCATGGTGAAAACCGGTCAGCGCGGCCGCTCGCAGAAGGGGGGCTAGATTGGAGAGACGGCAGAGAGATTTTCAGCTTCCTCTCAGATCCATTCCCACCTCGGTTTTACGTTAAACCCACTAGCAACACAACACATTGTTGGAGGCTTTTACTTATGACGGGGCAAATACTTTTATTTAAAAGCTGATGCTAGGCAGGGAGGTTGGTCTAGTGAGTACTGGCCTGGGGGCCAGGAGATTGGACTTTGCTTCCTGGCTCTGATCCAGACCCCTCATGTGACTGCATCGTTCTGTGCCTCGGTTTCCCCATCTCGGGGCGGGGGGGTAATAATCCTTTGTCGAGTTAGACTGGAAGCTCCTCGGGACAGGGACTGTCTGTTACTCTGCATCTCTGCAGCGCCTGGCACAATGAGGCCCCAGTTAGCGCGTCCTATAAATAACAGTCAGTGGTTGCTCTGAGAGGTTGTCACTGAGTTTGGGGGAATGGGGTCCCCGTGACATGTGAAAATCCAGCCCCCCCCCCACCCCGGGGGAGAGATTTCAGTACTCGACGATTGACACGGCCTTACAGTCTCTGGACCCGGTGACTCCTGGGCTGGGGGAAGGACGGCGCTTCTCCCCCCTCGCAGCCACCGTTAGCTTTAGCCCGACTCCGCTGCGGGGGAAATTCGCCCCGCGTAGAGGGCTAGCAGGGGGCCGATGCCGGCGCTTCCGTCTCCCTTCCCTGCGTCAAAGGCTTCGCCTCCCACCCAGGGGCCGGCAGCCCTAGCGGGTGGCGTGGCGTGGCTGCCGCCCAGGCCTCAGGATGGAAACTCACAAGCCCGGAGCTGAGGGAGCGGCCGGCACGTTCGCTCAGAGCCGGTTCAGCGGCCTGGAGCCTGAGGTTACCCACCCACAGGGCTCTCCTGAGCCTCCTGCCCTCGCCGGCCTGGCTCCGGCCCTGCACCGTGCCCTGGGGCTCACGCGTCCTTGGCCCGGGCCCCTGCGCTGCGGCTCGCCCAGCGCCTGCTGGGCTTCCAACCGTCGCCCGATGGCTGTTGGAAGGGGCCGGGGGGGGGGGGGAACGGGAAGGAGGCTCCATTGTGAGACAGTGTCTGCCTCCTTCCTCCCTAGGGGCCCGAGAGTGGGACGGCTGTAGGGCCTGTGCCTTGGGACTGCTGTAGGGTGTCTATAGGGTCCGCAGTTTTCCATCGCTGTAGGTCTGTGGCTTGGAACTAAATCATATCTTCCCCACAGAACAATAGGGGACCCCGTTCCATCCGTGCCCTGCTACCCCCTGCCAGGAGCAGGGCCGTGCCAGCAGAGGGCACGGGGGCCGGGGCAGGCTGAGCGGCACATGCTGGAACATGCAGCCCACAACTCTTCAGCTCCATTCAGCGGGAGATAGTTAAGGGGTGGGACTGGGACTCACGTGACATGGGTTTTTCTTCCTGGCTTTGCTACAGACTCCCTGTGTGACCTGGGACAAGTCACTTCCCCTTCCCGTGCCTCAGTTTCCCCATCTGTAAAATGGCGTTCTCCTTCCTTTGTCTCTTTAGAATCTTTGGGGGCCAGGGACTGTTTGTACAGGGGACCTCTGGGTGCTACCGTAACACAAACAATAAATAGGCACAAAACCCATCTTCCTTTGAGAAATTAACCAGACAATTGAATTCCAGAAGGATAAGAGTCACCCCTTGGGAATTTAAGATCTGGTGCTGTCCATAATCCCAGGGGTGAATTTCACTCCAACATGAGCAAAGGGAAATAATCTTTTTTTCCCTTCAAAACCCAGCTTTGCTCTTCCCTGAACCCCGTCACTTTCAAACAGCCACTCGCAATAGCCAAGCTAACAACGTCTGCATAGAAAGATCGGGGATATTTAATTTATACAAACACAAAACACTGGCAGAGAAAACTTTGTCGGGTGCAGAAAACCAATGACACATTGTTGACTGGATCTTTTCCAAATGCACACAAGGGGGGAGGAAAAAGGGACATGAAATATTTCATTCGAATTCAAGTTCATGATGTGCTACATCAGTAAAAGTGCATCGTTTAAGTGTTTCTCAGATTGTCGGGCATTTTTAAAGCTGTAGTGAGCACAGAGGGATGAATGGAATTTGTAAGGATTCCCCCAAGTCTCTGCTTTCATTAAAAGAAGTGGGGAGGGAGCCAGGCTCTAGCTGTTACGGCTGCAAAGAAAACCTTCAAAATGTGAAGTAACCAATGCAGTGACATCTGCCTGAGTTTGCAGAGAGCCCGAATTGGTTACTCTGAAAGGGGTGACCTGCCCTTTTCATTGCAACTCAGACGCAATGAGAGTACGTTAAAACGTCAACATGGCTCACTGGGTCACAGCTCAAAGCATGTGACAAATGAAAGGAAGTACTGTAAGAGCTACATAAATGATCCTCAGTCAGTGCGTGTTTTGGGTAGGGTCTACAATAACACGTGGTAGGGGGCATGTTGGTTTCATTCTCCGCTTTTAGACGTTTAGACTGCCACCTTTAAGCTAATTTCTTGTTGCGCACACAAGAAAAACAAATCAGATCGAATTTATCATTGAAACAGACACAAAAAACAGCATGGGAAAGATACCATCCCACTTCCCACTGTAGTCTCATTGGCGTCGCAGCCATCTGATTGCTCAGCGCTATTACAGATTAACAGGAAACATTAGGGATTAGCGATTAATAAGAAAAGTTAGGTTTCTCTCGCAGTGAACCTCAGGGAGATGCAAAGGCAGGAGGAGTTGTGGATGGCAGGAGAGGCGTTTTGTGTTTCCGGTGGAAATCTTGTTTTTCAGCCGCTCGTACTGATCTGACAATACAGAACCAGGGAAACGGCCATTGCGGCCAGCTAGGAAACAAGAAAACAAAGAGGGAGACACATTTACTGCTCAACCCCTGGCTCTGTCATGGGCACAGCCCCCACTCCATCCCTTCCCGCCCCCTCCCCTGAGCCTGCCGTGTCCTCGCTCCTTCCCCCTCCCCCCAGAGCCTCCTGCACGCCACGAAACAGCTGATCGGGAGGTGCAGGGAGGGAGGGGGAGGCGCTGATCGGCGGGGCTGCCGGTGGGCGGGAGGCGCTGGGCGGGGCGGGGGAGCTGATGGGGGACTGATGGGGGACGTATTACTGTGGCTCTTTGGCAATGTACATGGGTAAATTCTGGCAAAGTGACAGGGCTGGGACCCGAGTCTCAGCAGGACTCGGGCTCAGAACCACCCCCCTTAGCAGGGTGCTGGGACCCGGCCCTGAGCGGCTGTTGACCCAAGGCACACTGATGTGTGCTCGGATGGAAGCAAGGTTTGGGCTCAAACCTGAGTCAGAGCTCAGTGTGACCAGGAAGGCATTTCCCCAGCCCTCGACTCATCGTTCATGGGAGTGGCCCACAAGCTATTACAGCCATTCACTCCTGGTGGGACGCTGGGTGCTGTTTAAACTCCGCTCCCCGAACAGCTATTCCAATGCCTCTCACTCCTATCCCGCCATATCCCCGGCTTCTCAACGTCACGCCTGAGCTCTGACACCACCAAACTTTTCAAGCCAAGATGCCGAGGGGCACGATCCAAGGAAAGATGACTGTCCCCCATTTTACAGGTGGGGAAACCGAGGCACGGAGCAGGGGCGTGTGGTGGTGGGGGGAGTTACTTGCCAGAGGTTACCCAGCAAGGCAGTAGCAGAGCCAGTTCTCGTGAGTCCTAGCCCATGAGTGTGCCACAAAAGCGTACCTCGAGCACACCGATTCCTAACGCCACCCCTCCAACGATCCTCCCGTTCCTGCTCAGGAAGGTCTGGAACTCATGCAAGCAGCCCTGGGAGGGGAAAGAGAATCACAGATGCAACAGCGGGCCCTGGCGATGGGGCCAGTGCGTCTCCTCTCGGCACTAGTGGCAGTCTCTCCCCACAACAGCCCATAGCAGCTCGTTAACCGGGGATGTGATTGTCATATCAAACCTAGGGCCAGATGCTCTGTTGGTGTGAAAAACCAACGGCAGTTCCACAAACTGTCCAGGGGAAAGTTTCTTCTTAGGCCAGGTCTATACTAGACAGGGTTGGCTGGTAGAGCTATGCAGCTCTATCAGCAAATCCTCTAGTGGAGATGCAGCATCTACCGGCAGAAGAGTTCATAGAGGTGCCCAGAGAGCAAGCCGGGCAATTCCTTCATCTTGGAATCTCAATCCAACCAGTTTTCCCGGGAGCAACTCTGCCTCAAGAACTGATGAATCAGAGCCCGAGGCAGACAGCAAACTCTACTCTTGCTAACCCAAAACGAAGAACACAGAATTTCTTCCCAAGACTGAAAACTTGCTCAGAACGCTAAAAAAGAAGAAGAATTTGGAAGGCCACGTATGTCAGTGCCACATACACTAACAACACATAGCCTGTCTCCTATGGCAAATACTTTGCTAAGCTCTTCTCCTTACCTGCTTGGTGCTGTCCAGTTCAGATTCCAGGCACTCATGCTTGGGCGGCAGGCAGCAGCCTGTGGGATAAGTCTGGCTGTGAGTTTGGTAGAAGTAGGAGCTGTTGAAATCCTTGTAGTTGTTGAAGCCACAGCACTTCAGCTAGAACAAGAACGCCAGTTGGTTAACAGCCACAGCCACGTTTTAGATTCACGTCCAGGACGGTTTGACTGCTGGGGGAGGATGCGGCTGTTGTAAAAACCTTGCCCTGCCCTGAAAATGGATCACATAGGCCTGATCGCTAACGGAAGTGGGTGGCTTTGCATTTAAGCTTGGCTGGGACGCAGGAGATCTACATTCAATTCCTAGCTCAGCTGTAGAGTCCCTGGGTGACCCCGGGCAAGATTCTGTGCCTCAGTTTCCCCCATCTGGAAAATGCAGCTCCCCAGTGGGCCAGCTTAGACTATCCAGAGCACAAAAGCCCTCCAGCCACACCCCTAGGAGTGATGTAAGAGCTGCCGCTGCAGGTGCTGAACTTCAAGCAGGTGCTCAAGTCCCACTGGAGTTAGATGTGTGCTAATGTGCTTTGCTGAATCGGGGCCTTCCAGCATGGAGATCCCCCCTCCCCCGCCCGCTGGTGGTGGAATTCCCCCTGCCCCCCATGCCTCAACTGGCTGAATCCATCTCTTCCAGGGGGAATGCCGAAATGCGCGCTGCTCACCTCCTTCATGGTTGTGTCCCAGATTGCAGTCACGTCGTCCTGCCTCCCGTAATCCTCTCGTAAAGTTTTCACAGCCCAGTTTTTCAGGTGCTCAATGAATATATCAGCCTGGAAACCAGAGACATGCACAGATTGGCACCGTCTTGTCTTTCGGGAGCTGTTTGGTTTTTCCTTTATTGAGTTTTGCAGACCAACAAAACAACCCCCCAATGCAACGAGCCAGGCACCGCACCAGCCCTCGGGAGACACCCAGGCAGACTAGTGTTTTATAGCTTTATCTTCTATTTGTTGAACCCAGGGACGGCCAGCCTGGATCAGCCCAACGGTCCATCTAACGCAATATCCCATCTCTGACAGTGGCCAAAGTCACATCCTTCAGAGGAAGGTATAAGATTAATTTCCTTTCCAGCACCCTTTATTTGCATTAACTATCACAACTCTACTGCTAGTAGGCATGTAATCATCCAACCCCTCTCTGAATTTTGCTATGTTCTCAACCTAAGAACCATCCAGTGGCAGAGAGTTCCGCAGACGAATAGCACGTTGTGTGAAAAAATATTTCTGTCAATCAATCTTGAGGTTGCCACCTTTCGATTCCAGTCAGTGTCCCCTTGATCTTGTGTTTTGACAGGGATTTTAAATGCTGACCCAGGGAAAAGTCATTAGGATTGGAGCTGGACAAATTATTTTTTTTTGGGGGGGGGGGGGGGACAATGCTTATTGGCCAAAAATGCAGTTTTGGTTGAATTCGCTGCATAGTTTCAGCCCTCCCCCCCAAAAAAGGGTGGGGGGGTCTCCTAAAAAGTCAAAACATTTCATTTCTACATTTAATTAAATTTAACGAAAAAACCAAACAAACCCCAAAAGGGTAAAAAAACCCCACCCAAACCCAAAACAAACCCAGAACAACTTTTTTTTTCAGTTTTTCGTTTTGGCAAGAAAAAAAATGAATGTTTGGGGTCAACCCAAAACAATGTTTAAAACAATTTCAGTTCAGCCACTGACCCAAAACCTCAGTGGCTCACTCAGCTGTCTCTAGGCTCAGTGAGTACAAGGCACTGTTATTGACACGGTTATTTACAACATCTCGGGAGACAAGCCTAGGCCAGGGCCCCGGGGGTGCTCCAGGAGAGAACCCAGGAATCCTGACTCCCGGGACTTTCCACCTCCCTTAGCAGAGTCCCCCTAGGTCCTGTTTTCGAGGCGGAGGAGAGCAGTCGAACAGCTCCCAGCCTGGGGGGCTCTGACTCAACGCCGGGAGTGGAGGACAGCGGCGGCTCACCGAACTGCTCTGTTCTCTACACTCCCTGGTGCTCTGTACAGGATCCTGGGCTGGATGGACTGCGGTCTGCCCCAGGCTGGCAGCTCGGATGTTCTCAAAGCCCAGCCTTTAACTTACCACGGAGGAGAAGGCGAGGACGACGACGGCCCCCGCGACCTCAGCGATGAAGAGAATCAGGATAATGACAAAGAACTGGAGACAGAGAGAGACCAAGATCAAAAGCCGCCCGTGCCAGCACAGAGGCCTCCCCCTATGCAGGAGCCATGCCCGGGGGGCTGGAGCAAAGGGGCTTCAGGCAAGAGCTGCTACTACTGCCAGTACCAGGTGTGGCGGCTCGCAGGTGGTCACGTCCGCAAGGGGCCTACGCGCCCAAGGGCCAGAGCTGGGTATTTAGGCACTGAAGATGCAGAGCCAAAGGGAATGAGGCACCCAACTCACTGGGGCACTTTTTACATTCCAGTAGGCACCTGTTTTATTAAAGGGCTCATCAGTCCAGCTGACAAAGGTCTAACAAGGTCCAGCGGCTGGAAGTCGGAGCTAGACTCATTCAGACTGGAAATAAGGTGCAGGTTATTAACCGGGAGGGTAGTTAACCATTCGAACAAGTTCCAAAGGGCTGGGGCAGCGTCTCCCTCACTGGCCGTGTTCAAATCAAGACAGGATGTTTTTCTAAAAGATCTGCTCTCGCTCAAACAGGAACTGAGTTGGGAAAGGTCGATCGGCCTGTGTTATACAGGAGGTCAGGCTGGGGGATCACAATGGTCCCTTCTGGCTTTAGCATCTAGGAATCTGCTTCTGAGCTACCTTGTAAATCTGGCTTCCAGCCCCTAGGGGAGACAGTGCGGGTTCGGTGTTAGCTACAGAGATACCGACTTCTGGAAGAGTCTGAGCTCCAAGCTAGCTGGGAAATTATATTTTCCCCCTGGACATTTTGACAAAATTTTGTACATTTTCATCAAATGTTTCTTAGAAATATTTCAGGTTCTCATCCACCTCCTCCCCACAAAAAGTTGTGGTATTTTTCTATCAAAACCTGACCTTTCTCAAAGCCACAAAACACCGGTTGCTGAAAACCAATTCTCCCTCCTCGCGCTGGCTTTCAGGGGTGGGGTATTTTGGGCAGAAACCTGAACATTTCCAATGGCAGTGGGAATTTGGGGGGTGAAAATGTCCGAGAAAACCTTGAGAGGGAAATGTTCCCATCTCCCAACCCAGAGAGATGGCAGGAGTGGGGCAGAGCTGGTAAACTCTTTTTGTGGGAAATATCTCACCGGTTTCCACGGTGGGACTCGAACCCAGGCCTACAGAGTGATCAGCCAGCCACCTCCTCATGCTGTCATAGCCTGTCTCCCTGGCAATTCGCAAGCCACAGAGGGTGCACACCGTTGGACGGTCTGCCCCGAGAGAGCCAGCTGACCATTGTGTAACAATCCCTAATTGGCTCCTTGATGCTCCATAAGCCCCTGGGATCCCGGGAAGCGCCCAGAGGATACCAATGTGACCAGCTGTCGTGACGGGGCTGCTTCTCTGCCAGTATTGACCTTGGCACCAACCTGTCTCCCGCTCGAGCCCTGGAACCCCAATGCTGACCCTGATACCTGGCGCTGGCCCTTGGCCTGGACTCCATCTCTGGCTCTGCCCCTCGGCTTGACTCAAGACTCAAACCCTGGGTTTGCCGTTCAGCTCCTCTGACCCCGGGCTGTGGTTCCTGCCCCTACACCTGCCTCCCTTCGCCCAGGATTCTGACAAAGGTTCAAAACGGAACCGGTTCTGCAGACGTTGCCACGACCTCCATCCCCATTGTAGGTAGGGGAAACTGAGGCATGCAGCGGCGCTGTGCCAAAGGTCACTCGGCGTCTGGGACAAAGCCAGAATCTGAAACAAAATGTCCCGCGTCCTAGCCAACCCCCTTAGCAACCCCTCTGCCCAGGAGCACTCAGTGCCCAAAGGCAGGTCTGGCTGCTCTCCCCGCTGCGGACTGGGGAGAGTGAAGCCCAGAGGGGAGCTGGCTGGCCCGAGGTCCCGGAGACTCCTGGATCCCAGGCCAGCGCTCTGCCCGTTAGCCCCCAGCCCTTCCCAGTTGTCCTGCAGCCCCTACCAGCAGCAGCATGCACTTGCTCTCCTTCATGGCCCCGCAGCAGCCCAGGAAGCCCATGAGCAGCAGGAAGGTGCCGACAGCGATGCACAGGTACCCCACGTTGATCAGCTGCATCAGCTGGGGCGCGGCGGCCCCCAGGATCTGCACGAAGGAGCCTCCATCCACCTTCACCCAGATGCCGATGCCCAGCACGGCCAAGCCGCTCAGCTGGGGGAGAGAGGAGAGAGGCTGGTAAGCAGCGAGCGGCCTCCCTTCATTCCCCACCGCGGTACGGGGCCACGTCCTGCACTGCAGCTCCCAGGGTTACCCCCAGCCTGCAGGGCCTTCTCCTCCCCGTCCACACTGAATCAGAGCCCCCAGCCCACCAGCCGGGGCTTCGCCTACTCACAAATATAACGCCGTTGAACACAAACATCATCATCTTCAGGAAGGAGAAGCACCCCATCTTCCAGCACCTACACGGGGAGGAGAAGGGGGGCAGTAAAGACGTGGGGTTCAGCATGGCCCCGCTCAGTCGGGGGCCAGGGGGGGCTGTGCAGCGCCCGGCACTACCGGGGCCCCCCTGACTCGGTGTGAGTCTCTAGGCACTACTGTCATACACCCAATAAATAAGGTGATAGCTCTGACCCTGCAAAGCCTTCTCAGGCCCAGACTTGTCCAAGCCGCCTGAGATAAGAAGTGTGATTAGAGGGGTGAAGCAGACCACGCAGAGGACAAAGAGGATGTGGTTTTTTCCCCACTGTTTACAGTGTTGCCAACTCTCACTATATTTGGGGTTTTTCTTAAAGCCTCAGCCGCTGGAGTCAGGTGATTTTATGAGACTCACAGTTTTCATTTAAAAAAGAAAAGAAAAGAAAAATAAAGCAACTTTCTAGCTCTCCCGGCTGCAGAGAGAAGCTTGCAGATGTGACCCCCAAAGACTCAACAAACGGAAGGGAAAGAAACCGATCCCCAGAAAATTGATTAAAAAAAACCAACAGCTCATGATTTTTGAAAGGCCACAGTGACGATTTCCGAACGGTCCGGGCCAGCCGCGTTCCAGACGCTGATATGAAATAACTCTTCCCCCTCCAGCCAGGTTGCAGTGGAGCTCACACCTTGTATGCCTGGCGGTGAGACATTTTCATAAATAGTCCATCAATTGTCAAACCACTGACATCGCTTATAACCAGGGCTTATAACTGTCTAGAACATCATCCCCCGAGGACCGTCCCAGCTGACAGCAAGAGCCTCCAGGAGCTCCAGCCGTTTAGCTAAACAAAGAGGAGGTTAACGGGTGACTCGATCACAGTCTAAGTACCTATAGGGGGACAAATACTTGACCATAGGGAGCTCTTCAATCTAACAAAAGCCAATGGCTGGAAGTTGAAGCTAGACCAATTCTGACTGGCAATAAGGCCCAAATTTGTACTGGGGAGAGTAATTACCCAGCGGCCCAGCTTCCCCCGGGTCCCGGTGGATTGTAAGCACTGGCGGTTTTTACATCAGGGTGGGTGTTTGTCTCAGGTCTGAACCGAATCCCCAGGGCCTGGGTTCTCCAGGAGCTCAGACCAGAAGATCGCAATGGTCCTTTCTGGCCTGGGGATCTAGGACGCTGTGAACTCGGATCACACGAGCTGCTCACGTCTGTAATAGGCTCAGAGCGTTGGTGCATCGTGTGCTGACCCTTTGCAAACCACTGAATGCGCGACCGCAGTAAAAAGCAGAGAGGGATTCGCTTTCCCCCTGGAGCGGGAGTAAAGCACCATGAAAGCAGCTGCTAGGTTTTAAAGCCAGATGGGACAATTGAGAACAATACCTCACTCTTACGTAGCTTCTTCCATCGTAGATCCGCAAAATGAGGCCAATCTCATTAGCTAGCTGGGGAAACTGAGGCAGGGAAGTGCCAGGCCAGGTGCTGAGTGGGTAGTAGAACCCCAGTCTGCAGAGTGCTAGTCTTTTGCTCTGGGGACTGGCCCATGCTCCCTCTGACCTCCTCCCGCCTGCAGGCCTAGAAACTCACTCAAGCTCATTACGTCCAGCTGCGCTAGATTTGGAAGGACGTCCTGTCTTGACTGACAGCGGGCATGTGATGGAGAATCTGCCCTGGCCCTGGGACAGCTGCTCCAATGGTTAATTCCCCTCCCAGTTCAAAATCTGCCCCTTCTTTCCAGTCTGAATTGTCCAGCTTTGGCTCCAGCCACGGGGTCTCATCAGTTGTCTGCTCTGGGGCCTCTCCTCCCGCCATGGCTCCTTGGCACTGGGCTCACGTCACGGGCTGCCCCGTGCTGGGGCCAGCAAGGACCTTTGCTCGGTCGCTCCTCACTGCTTCAGGAGCTGGGCAGGTTCCCAAGCGGTGCCTCCCACGAGATGTGGAAGCTATAGAAGAGGCGGCTGGGCCTGGAGAAGCAAGTCACTGAGCCGGGAAGAGGGGGTGGGGAGGGCTCAGGTGCCAGTTCCGCGGGGCTCAGCCTTCCCTCCCACGTAGCCCACAAGACTCTGCACAAGCTGCTGGGGGCCGTGCCACCCCAGCCCCTGCTCTGGCTACTGGAAGGGGAGTGAGTCCGGGTGAGCCTTGCAGACTCATCACATCCAACAGCCACCCAGCGCACGGCTCCCGCGAAGGACTGGCCGGAGCAGACTGGAGCAGGGCCTTGCCCGTCTCCCAGCAGCGATGGGACAACCTGCCCTGCGGCTCCAGGCTCCTCCCCGCACCGCTGCTCCCCAAGGCCACCTCTGCAGCATCTTCTCCTGCAGCTGAAGCTGTTGCCTAGCAGCAGCCAATCGGCTGGGAACCGCCCGCACCCCTTTATCCTGGGGGTGCCGCTAACGGCAGCCTCCCGCTAGGAGAGCTCAGGGGCCCCAGGGCGGGGCCCCGAAACCTGTCCAGCAGCGAATCCAGCAGGCTTCAGCCTGACTCCCTGTGTTGTGTGTGGTCTGCAGGGCTGGGACTGCAGGGGGCTGCGGGCTGGAGTTGAGGGGCATCGGCAGAGCCACGTGGGTGCTGATGGCTGGCGCTGAAGCTCCATCTGCAGTGGGAGCCCAGCGCTCTGCTGGTGAGACCCGTGTGCAAAGCAGGCACAGAAACGCAGGCAAGTCACGCCTGCCCTGTGCCTCAGTTTCCCCATATGTGAAATGGGAGTAACCCTCACAGTAAGGATAAATCTATTGTCCACAGTGCTAGAGTGTCAGGAGTGAGGCCACAGGCAAAGCTAGGCGGGGAGCCCAGGGCTGGGAGAGCAGGGGGCTGCAGGTCGGGATTGAGGGGCACTGGCAGAGCTGGGGGGAGCCCAGGGCTGGGCTAGCAGGGGCTGCAGGTTGGGATTGAGGGGCACTGGCAGAGCTGGGGGGGGAGCCCAGGGCAGGGCTGGGGGGCTGTGGGTCGGGATTGCGGGGCACTGGCATGTTGGGAACTACACATCTATGACAGAAGAATATAGAGACCCAGCGTTTTATCAAACTGGGTCAGATTTCAGGTTTGCAGGAAATCTCCTGCAGATGTTGCAGTTTCACCCTTTGCTCTCCTGCCCCACACATCTCTCCAGAAAACACTGGCCCCTCTGTTGATAACAGAAGAACAGCCAGCCTGGGTCAGACCAAAGGTCCATCTAGCCCAGTGTCCTGTCTGCCGACAGTGGCCAATGCCAGGTGCCCCAGAGGGAATGAACAGAACAGGGCAATTATTGAGTGATCCATCCCCTGTCGCCCATTCCCAGTTTCTGGCAAACAGAGGCTAGGGACACCCCCCCTGCCCATCCTGGCTAATAGCCATTGATGGACCCATCCTCCAGGAACTTATCTAGTTCCCTGTTATAGTCTTGGCCTTCAACATCCTCTGGCAAGGAGTTCCATAGGTTGACTGTGCGCTGTGTGAAGAAATACTTCCTTTTGTTTGTTTAAACCTGCAGCCTATTAATTCCATTGGGTGACCCCTAGTTCTTGTGTTATGAGAAGGAGTAAATAACACTTCTTTATTTACTTTCTCCACACCAGTCATGATTTTATAGACCTCTATCCTATCCCCCCCTTAGTCGTCTCTTTTCCAAGCTGAAAAGTCCCAGTTTTATTAATCTCTCCTCATACGGCAGCCGTTCCATACCCCTAATCATTTTTGTTGCCCTTTTCTGAACCTTTTCCAAATCCAATATATATTTTTTGAGACGGGGCGACCACATCTGCACGCAGTATTCAAGGTGTGGACATACCATGGATTTATATAGAGGCAATATGATATTTTCTGTCCCTTTCTTAATGATTCCCAACATTCTGTTTGCTTTTTTGACTGCACTGCACATTGAGTGGATGTTTTCAGAGAACTATCCACCATGACTCCAAGATCTCTTTCTTGAGTGGTAACAGATAATTTAGACCCCATCATTTCATATGTATAGTTGGGGTTATGTTTTCCAATGTGCATTACTTTGCATTTATCAACATTGAATTTCATCTGCCATTTTGTTGCCCAGTCACCGAGTTTTGAGAGATCCCTTTGTAGCTCTTCGCAGTCTGCCTGGGACTTAACTATCTTGAGTAGTTTTGTATCATCTTCAAATTTTGCCACCTCACTGTTTACCCCTTTTTCCAGATCGTTTATGAATATGTTGAATAGGACTGGGCCCAGTACAGACCCCTGGGGGGCACCACTATTTACCTCTCTCCATTGTGAAAACTGACCATTTATTCCTACCCTTTGTTTCCTGTCTTTTAACCAGTTTCCAATCCATGAGAGGACCTTCCCTCTTATCCCATGACAGCTTCCTTTGCTTAAGAGCCTTTGGTGAGGGACCACAGCACACTGTGTACGAAGTGCTAGCTCTGTGCGCGCGCACAGACACAGACACACACACACACGCCTGCACACATGCACACACACGCCTGCACATGCACACGCACGCACACACACACGCCTGCACACACACATGTGCCTACATGCACACACACACACATAGCTGCACATGCAGGCACACACACACACGCCTGCACACGCACACACATGCACACTCACACACCTGCACTCATGCACACACACACACACACTCGCCTGCACATACATGCATACACACACACATAGTTGCACACGCACGCACACAGACACGTCTGCATACGCGCACACACACACCTGCACACACACATGCCTGCACACACACATGCCTGCACACACACACACACACATGCACACACACGCCTGCACACACAAATATGCCTGCACACACAGACACACACATGCACACACACATGCACACACACATGCACACACATGCCTGCACACACACACACGAACACACACACACCTGCACACACGCGCACACATGCGCACGACACACATGCCTGCACACACACGCCTACACACACACATGCACACTTGCACACACACACACACATGTATACACACACACACACATGCACACACACACGCCTGCACACACACACATGCCTGCACACACACACACACATGCACACACACAC